ATGTAAAGAAGAGCCATAAGAGGCTCATGTCACTCAGGCTCACCAATAGGCCTAGATAATTAAAAACTTTTGATACCAATAGCCGATACAGAGCAGCAAATGCAGAGTGCGCATTTTCCCAGAACTTTTGATAGAATGAGAATCTATCCGCAGCTATAGTTATGCATTATGGACTTGAAGGCTTCTCGGTTAGACAGGACTATTAATAGAGCGATTATGAAGTCTGGTCCAACAATGCGTTTACTAGTATAGCCAAATTTAGGATAATCCCAGCTGGAAACAGCTTTAGTAAAGCAAACCGATTAGATATAAATAAATTTACAAGAAATGGGACTTTTTGAAAAATTTTCATATGGCTCTTGAGGGCAAAAGTAGCTCCATATCTTCTCTTTACTATAGTCATAAAGTCCAAGTTAAAATATTATCCATCCCCATATAAACCTAGTGGTCTAAATCTGGCTTGTACGTCTGGATAAAAAAGTCTAATCGAAAGCTTTCACCTGGAAAATCTTCCAGTTCATACACGAAAAATGTCATGTGCTATAAAAAGAAGTCCAACTATCACGTCCCATAGTGCATGAAGAAATCCTTAATTAAAACATTAAATGTTTCGTGGATATGAATAGAAGCCGGTAAGAACTAAATAATGAAATTAACGAGTTTAGTAATGAGAAGTATATGTTTGACTTTTAACAAGTAAATTGCATGACAAATACGAGGTTTAGCTATGGGACGTGTTCCTCCCCGATATGCCTCAGTTAGAACGTCGCCTAATTACAAGAGCACTTCAAGAAAATAAATTATGGGTTATGTATACATACAATTACTTCATTGTCCGGTAAAACTAGAGTGAATAAACGAATAATGCAGATGGGACGACTTAATTAATTGTGGAGTTAGCAAAGGGTGATGGCTTACCCTTTTAGGATACTTTAATAGAAAATGAACTAACTTTGTTAGTGATGAGTATTATAAATTCACAAATGAGTGTTTCCTCCTAACATTCAGTTTAGATAAGACTTATGGGCTTACGGTTGGTGAGAAAACAATGATAAAACGTCTGCATCCTGCAAATGCTAAAAACCGAGAGCAGAGGACACATTTCAAGATCTAAATTAAAAACAAGTATTTGAGATTAATAGCAAATAGGATGAAGGGGGACATCTATTTGGAGGAGAAGAGGTGGCTGGACTACTCCACTAGAAGCATGGTGATACTGTCGTGTCAGCAGCCAAAAGGAGTCAAATAATTGAAGTTGGATATTAGAAGGGTGTATAACAGTTTCCTCAACAGTATCTTCTTTTCCGAACTTTTCTGACTATTTAGGCAAGATTTTGTGTTCTGTGGTAGGCTGTATGTGGTGAAGACCTGTTGACCAATACATAAGAGGTTACTGGAACATAAAACGGCATGGAAAGGTTTGCGAGTCCAAAACTCTAAATTGGCTGAACACAGCTAAGATGAGAAGCCAGGTGGACTGGTCTAAAGCCAAACGTTTGGCTGGATATGACGATTTCACAACTATGCAAAGAATTAAGGAGTATATGGAGGTAAGCAAATCGGTCAATATTCTGAATAGAATGAATGTATAAGAAATTATACACGAACTACTTTTGGGCGTTGGTTAGAATTAGGAATAGAGCAAGAGGAGAATTTGATGAGTTTTGGCGAATATACAAACCATACACACCAAACTCGGCATCCTCAAGTGAATATGAGAGATAAAATGCTAAACCTCCAGATCAACTTTGCGGTAGGCTAGGATGCAGTACCAAGGCCGTAATCACTCAAAAGAGAAGGATATCCAACACATGTTAGTGTGACTGGACATACTATATCGAATGAAGAAATAAACTCTACCATCTTGCAGTAGCTAATGACAATGAGAGATAATATGCTTAGATGCGAAAAAAATTAATGGTTCAGTACTTACAGTAATGGATAGAAGTTGGCCAATTCCTCAGAGTGTAATGAGGATGGTGATTCCTTGTGACCATTCTGGTCGGCGATAGTCAAGCTGCTCCGTGTACGTAAAAAGGACCCGGAGAAGACTTCTTCCTCGTCGAGACCACTGTCGGTATCAAAAAAAATTTTTTCCTGAGCCCCGACGAACGAGACCCGTTTGGGTGGTGTGGCCAATTTTGAGTCGTCATTGGAGTCCAAATTGGGCATGATAACTGAACAGTGAACGAATTGATCGAGGAGGGTAAACGAAAATGTCAAAAAAGACTAAACAAACTAAAACGTCAAAATTGTAATACGTTGTTTGTGCCAGTAAAGGTGCAGACTTGGCCACATTTGAAATCAGGACTAAGCAAAAAACTGAGTTAGTTTCCATCGTTGAGGATGAGTTGATTATCTTATCTGGCTCATAAAAGCTGTGTAGACGCGATCAATAAATTCACAAAGCAGGATACAATAAGGGTTCAGTAAGTATGCCCAAGTTTCCTATGATGTTATTGGAAGTGGCAGCGGTCTCAATCAAGAATAATTAAGAATACGATTTGGTTTTGCGTTGAAATTGACTGCGCTATTTACCCCAAAAGCCTGTTCTCCTTCAGGACAGACTAAAGTTCCAGCAAATTAATGAGTCTCCTGGCAAACGTATATTTGTCTATCTATACGAAGTCCTCCGTAGAAAGACGTGTCAAGACAGGTCTACTTTGACCTGAAAAAGTTGCTTATTGAGTAACTAGAAAAGACTAAGGTCATATGATTGAAGGGGTAACGTGTTCGCCCATAATAACCACGGTTCGAGTCCCACTGGGGTACCTAATCGGGCCTAAGCAAGTTAGAGGTTGCGCTTCAGTTTGGAGGAACTGCCTTTTTGGTCTCATGGCACAGTGAACGAAATTAGGTCTTTTCTTCTATTCACCTTAGTAAGACTCGCCATCAACAAATGAAGCATAGAAGTAGGTGAATGCTGAGAAAAAATAGGATCCTGATAGCTAAGAAAAAAATTATTAACAGCGTTTGCGTGTGTTTGTGTGTGCACTTCTCTCTCTCTCTCTCGTTATTGACAGGTTCATCTCTAGTATAAAAATGTGGATAGAGTTCAGGGATCAAAAAGTTTCAGTTCCGTGAAGAGAATCTTCAATTAAATTTAAGTCTGATGGAAAGATTTCCTTTCCTTATTTCTAAAGAGGAAATTCAGTCATGATCGGAAGTTTGGGAGAGCGAAGACCAGTAATAATGCGTACTTATGATAAAGACGAGAAGGAAGGAATTCCAAAGATCAGTGGAGAGGAAGTATCTTTAAAACAAAATGGCCAAAATATGGTGCAGCGACTACAGTCATTATCCGGGAAAATTATGAATCATGAAGTAAGAATTATGTGTGGACAAACGTACTCTTTCAAAAAAGAAGACAGTTAATGATGACGCTTTTTATTCAAAATAGGCATATGAAAATATTGACAATGGGGGGATATGTGTTAGTCGATGAGAGGATTGGTTGACAAGCAATGGAGGCTAGGGACATGTGTTTGCTCTGATTGGGAGATACTCGCGTAGGTCTGAAGGAGATCAACTACAGCTTGTACATGAGGCGCCCTCTCTGATTCCAGGGCTGAGGAATCACGTCCAAGTAGACAACGACGGACGGCGGTGGAGACAGTAGCCAAAGCCACCGAATCCTGCCTGGCGCACAAAGCCAAGGTCTGGCGTAGTTGCCCTAAATGACAGGCTATTTGATCTGTTGAGAAGCCAGTGCCGGCGGCTTCGGCACCGGAGTTCGAGTCGGCATAGGCGACTAGATGGCAGACAGCCAGATCAACAGCGAGTTGGGCGAACACAGACCGGCCGATGGGCTGGGAGGACTGACGATCAAGAGTGAGACCTACCAAGGCTTGGACTATCCCTGCTTCGGCAGAAGAGGCAGTGAGGTTGGGAGCGTCGGAGAAGCATGGGGCCGGCGGGACTCGGGTGTCCTCGGATGAGAACGGAGAGGGGGGCTGAGCAAAGCGGAGGGCTGAGGCCAGTAGATGGCCGTAGTACAGAATAAGATGACCCGCGGCGAGGGCCGGCGATGGCCTTAGCTTCTTTAGATAGGCTGTGGCCCAGGCCGCTAGGAAGTCGAGCAGACTGAAGGACTCTTCGGTCGACTGAAAAGCAACCTGGAGGCAGGAGAATGCGTGCCGCGGCAGTGAGACCAGCAACGCCTCAGACAATTGGTTGATGTCCAGCAGTACCACTTCGAGCCATCCTGTGGCCAGCAGCTCTGCGGCCAGAGTTGAAGCCAGCTCGGCAGCCGAGACCAGTGCCTTTGTCTGGTCTGAGATATCCTCTTCGACACTGGGGTCGGAAAGAGTGGCGACTATGGAGTGTGAAGCAGAGGCAGAATCAACAGCTGGCACAAGTTGGCTGCCCTTTTCACGAGCAAGACTAGCTGTTAAGAGGAGCGAAGTACTACTGGCCGCTTGGAAGCGATGTTCTAAGCGTAGAACAGCCTCGCGAAGGAAGCGGGCGGTTCGTGGCCAGTTCCGGAGGCCAATGTAGCAGGCTAGACAATCTGGCAAGCCGTTGGTATCGAGAGGTGAGTTGCCCGGTCGCAGCTCGGCCAAGCGGGCAAGACAGGCGGCGAAAAGCGGTTGGCCAAGATGAGCAGGCAGTCGAAGCTGCAGGAGTACGAGGGCCTCACGAAACCGGCTCGCCTGAAGCAGATGATTCACAGCCTCGACCGGCCGGTGCCCGCAGACCAGCAAAGCGCTCACTAACTGTGGGTCCGGATCGCGAGTGGTCAACTCTTTCACCTAAAAAGGACAGACAAGCAGTTGGCATAAAAATAGAAATCAAACATGAAATTGACCTGAGAAGAATAGTAATAAAAAAAAGAAATGAGGAAAGTAGGGTTGATGTTCAATAAGATAGAGAACGAGGTTAAGCAAAAAGAAAGTGAATTTTATCGAAGGATTCCTCAGCACACCATACCTGCGTCGCCGGTGAGTTCGTGTTTGGCTTTAGTCTATCGTGTAAAAGACACTCAGAGCCAGAGACCACTACCATTTACCAAAACATCAAAGGAGGGCCAGGCAAAATCTTACTTCATAAATCCAATTTTGATGAATGTTCACAAATTATGATGTATAGCTTTGATAATGTCTGTCACTGTGTGACAGGGGAAAAAAGCTCAATAGGGATTTATTGAAGTCGCAGGACAGTGTACCGAACATATAAAATCAAAGCTCCAAGACAACCCCTCTTGGATTTCCATTAAGACCAATTGAAGAATATCTTCCATTCGTCTTTTTAGAAGAAAGGAAAGGAACAAAAATCGAGGTTAGGTAATAAAAGCCTAATTCAGGACACATCTTCCTTAGCAATGAAACATCATGGAAGATATCCATTTTAACCATTACTCCATTTTCGTAGTTAATGGTTTCGAGACTAAAAGTGTATTTTGAATAGGAACTGTACTCACATTAGGTCGCATAAGGCATTGAAGGAGTGATAGTTTAACTTTCTCATGATAATATCAGAAGGCTTCACGATGCCATTAAATTTCACCTAAACTCGCTTCTCAAAAGGTATTATCATTCAGATCGAATTGTAATTTCGGTCATAAGCTTTTAGTTTTGCAGTATATCGTTAAATAAGAGATAAGAAAGATAGCATACGACATCCTAACAATAGGTAAAGCGGGTTCCATTGGTCATCTAGGGCCCCCAATACCTTACTCTCAATTGGTAGAGGACAGAGCTGTAAGGAGCGGCTAGATGGCCTATTGAATTCACTATAAATTGAAATGTTTGTATGATGGAAAAGAAAGGAGCGCAGTAAAGTGAATAGTGAACTGTTGTTTAAACATAAATATGAAGATGT